CAAGTGGGCTCCCCCAAAGTCCACGGTATAGTTCGAACACTGCATGCAACCATCGTGCACAGTTTATAAAAATAAGTGTTTTTGTCATCGCCGCGGCTGAAAAGTAGCACACAAAACACTGCTAACATTTATATTTTATTCTGTGATAATTCTGTGGTGGCAGGTGGGGTGGCACAGCTTTTTCTTAGGGTGGCAGTTGCCACCCCGTGCCACCCCGATAGATCCGCCCCTGGCTTGTACATAACAGATTGTTTTGTTTAAAACTGTTTTTGTGATGGTTTGTATTTTTTATGCTCTTTGGAACATCAGTGTCTGTTTAGGTGATGAACTCCTTCACTTGTGTTTGTTTTCAGACATGATAACTGACGTTTTATACTTCAGTGCTACAACTTTTTGGCCTGTGCTACAAAAATGTCAACCTCCGTAGCACCAGTGCTATGTGCAAAAAAGGTTAACATGCAGCCCTGATTAAAGAGTGTAACACTGTAACATCGATCATTTAGGTTCTATGTGTGTAACCCCTCTCTCCCGGGTCCTCACCGCCACACCTCATTCTCGCTCCGAGTGGGTCTCTGGCATGGGAGGCGGACGCACTAACAAGGAGGCTAAAGACTGCAGCCTCTAGCGTCAGTCGCTAGTGCGTCTCTTGAGATCAGGGGAGTGAGGTTTACCGCACATCACTTACTCGCTGGCCTCCGTTACATGTGCACCTGACATTAACAGGCATTTAAAAGAGCACTTTTGATCATACCACCGATGTGATCTGAATGCTTTGAAATGTTTCGAGAATCTCACGCTCGCTGGACTGAGGATCTGTACAATCACTCCAACTTATTTGGGTAACTTCTCATCTGAGCTGGGAAACATCAAAGAATATAAAAATTAATTTTGAGTGCATAAATACCATGCATGTTCTATGTTTATGTCAAGCTGCAATTATGCATGCCACACTTCACATTTGTTTGCTAAATATTATAGATAATCTTACTTGTAGTCTATCATTAAATGAAATTCAAATAATAAAAATAATCAAAATCTCATCATCATAACAATCACCTCACCATGTTCACATAGTTCTACCATCATATACTGTCAAACTGTTCATACATATTTAAAATATTGGGGGGAAAAAACAACAGAGAGATTTAATGCTGCAATGATCATATTTAATATTTAGAGCTTACCATTTGAGATTTTCTAATGGTAGATGCAGCAAGCAATCACAGGGAGAAATATAACTACAGCTGCTGCTATTCCTGCTATAACAGACCATAAAGATTCTGCTGAAGAAAAAAAAAAGCATGATAAATACTTTTAAATTGTTGAACAGAGTTTAACCTTAATTGTTTGTGCCAATTACACTACATTATTTAAAGGGCTCATGAAATGGAGAATCAAAATGTCCTTGATATTTACACATATGATGAGAGGTTACTTTACAATAAAACCTCAAAGCTATCTCTCCAGTTTAGATCCTTCTGAAACAGCAGAATATCGATCCAAAAGATCAAACTATATTAAAAATGCCTAGGTGATTAAACAGGAGTAGTTTTGTTTGTTGATCTCATTTCACAACAGACTCTCCAAATGCTGCCAGTTTTTTTTTAAACATCTTACATTGAAGCGTTTGTGACAGAGTGAAATTGAAGATGGAACATTATCATTTTTATAAAATATGACATAATATGAACATCTGAAAATACATTTCATGACCCCTTTAATTACATTAAAAACATCAACACTACTTCTCTTTCTACAGTTAGTGATTTGTATTTAATCTTCACGTTATAATTGCAGAAGCAGCATTAGTGCATAACGGATATTCTAATCATAATCACTCACCACTAAATGTTTGTTGATATATAGTCCACACTGTTAAAACCGGTCGTGTCTGAGTCAGACTGCTGTGAACGACCAGACAGTCATAAGATCCTTTGTGATTTGCATCAGTCTCCACACTGGATCTCATCTGAAAGGTTTCATCAGCATTTGGTCTGATTCCAGATGATGTTTGGTTCTCAAGAACAGTTTCGTCCAATCTGATGTTCATCTCAACATCTCTGGGGTAGAAACCAGTGGCCAGACAGCTCAGAACCAGCTTGCTTTGATCATCAGGAGCTTTCTTCACAAACACATGAACATCTGGTGGAGCTGGAGAAGAAAATAATAATGCAATTAACAAACAAATATTGATAAAGACCTTGGTTTTGTCTCTGTGAGAAAAAAAAACAGAAGAAAACAAGCCGTATAGGTTTTGAAAGCTATAATCAGTATGAGCCTTTTTAATTTTCTATTTCATGATAGTTAGTAGATATTTAATAAATTAGTAAGCTGACATGCAATCTGTGACAGTCAAACTCCTGCAATCCAGATGAA